TTATTTTTCCTTTCAACAACTCCATTTTTTGGGGGGTTCTAGGGTTGAAAATTATGGCTAATACCACTAGATTTTAAAAAATCTTTAAAACTAAGACTTTGAAATCCAATCCATGGTCACTACTAACACTAGAAATTTGAGTAACATTTTTCATTTTGGTTTATTTTTAAAACATTATGAATTTATCTAAAGATTCATCCTTAATATTTAAAAAGAGAACCCATGTGAATATAAAGTAGTCATCAAGAATTAAAAACACATATTGCTTTCCAACCAAGCTAGTATTCCTAATAAACCCAAATAAATCCATGTGTATCAATTGAAACACTCTACTATAGGAAACATCAAGAATGTATTTAAAGGAAAATCTTTGTATGCTTACCCTTTAAACATGCATCACTAATTTTATCTAATATGCTCATGCCATATCACTTTTTACATGTTTTTCTAATATGCTCATCCTAGCATGTACAAGTTTCCTATGCTATAACTATGAATCATTTTCATCTTTAGCTATTAGGCATACATTTGTGACAATATCATCTAAATGTTTCATATTCTATGTCTAACAAGTATAATCATGTTTGATGCAATGTCAATTATTTTGCAGCCATTAGACTCAAAAATGATATTTTATATTTTATAACACAATTGAATTATATATACTAAGTAGATTATGATTCAAATCATTGATATGTAACATAATTTCAATGAGAATGTAAGAATTGTTATCAATTGAACTGATTCATTCTATGTGACCTTTGAAGTTGTCACCAAAAGTTACCACTCCTTCACTTTTAGGCTTGAGCTCTTTGAAACACATCTTATCACCGACCATATGTATTGATCATCCACTATCAAGGTACCATAAATTTGTGCTTACGTTTTGTGCCTTGTAGTAATGATCCTTCATCTAAAAATATAAATTAATTTTTTTATTTTTAGTACCCAAATTCATTTGGCTCCATAGGCATTAGTTCCCAATAATCTAGTCCCGTAAGGTAGCAATGAATCCTTTGGAGACCCGTAGGCTTTTCACAACTTTCTCATCAGAGGTTCTTTGGGGGTCTCTATGCTTGTATGGTCTAAAGGTATTTTTAATATAATTGGATTTAGAAGTTTGACCTTTTGAAAATGATTTGATCAAACATTCTTTAAATAAGTTTAGAAAGTAAATTATGCAAACCTTGAATTTTCTTTTCAAACTCATCAAGTTTAACTTGAATATATTTTGTCTTAATTTCAAGTTCATTATTAGTCTTAGTTGATAGATCATTTTCAATTTTTTCTTGTTATTTGGAAGCATTATCTCAAATTTAAGGCTAATTTATCATAAGCATCTTGCAATTCATCAAAAGAATAATCATATAACTCGATGAATTTGATGTTACCTTATATTCTCCTTTAATGGCCATAAGAGACAAGTTTTCTACCTCTCATTTTTCTTCATCGGTCCAAGTAGCTACAAGTTACTTTTTTTCTTTCTTGGTTGACCCTTTCTTCAATTGAGGGCACTCAAATTTGATGTGTTGTTTTCTTACATTCATAGTAAATGATGGGATCTTTCTCTTTGGTTTCATTCCTGAAGCCCTCTTTTATTTAAAACCTTCTTCCTTTGTTGAACTTCATGAACCTTCTAAACCTTTTGGAAAACAATGTCATTTTTCATCTTCTTCCTCACTTTAATTATTCTCTTGTTTCGTAGACTTGAGAGCAACCTCAACATTCTTTTTTTCCACCATCTTTTCTTCTTCATTCTTTTCTCATCTATTGGGTAAGGAGAGACCCAATGAGCTTTTCAATTTTAAGAACATTAAGTTCCTTGGCTTCTTCAATACATATTTTTTTAAATTCCCAAGGCATTGATAATCTTTAAACAAACTTCATTACAATTTATTAATTTGGATAGACCTTTTCGAAAACATTCAACTCATTGATAATGGTGGTAAATCGATTGAACATGGTCTTGATGTCTTAATCGAGTTTCATCTTGAAGTTCTTATAATTGAGAGTGAAATGTTAATCTCTGTTTTCTTAACTTGACTTGTTCCTTTGTGAGTGACTTCAAGCTTGTCCCAGATTTCCTTTTAGAACTTGAAGATACTCTAATATACTTGTCGGGACCAAGTGCACAAAAGAGGATGTGCATGGCCTTGGCATTAACTTGAACAAGTCTTCGGTCTTCATTGGTCCATTCCAACTTGACTTTTTTGGTACAATAAGCTCTCCTTGCATTTTTTGAAGGAATTTATGATCTGTCAGTGATAAATTCCCACACTGAATAGTCGGTGGCTTGAATAAATAACATCTTTCTATTATTCCAATAAGAATAATTAGCACTATTAAAATAAGGAGGCTTAGAAATGGAATGAAACTCGTCAAAAATTCTAGAAGTGGATGAAGTGGCCATTGATGATGATATGATTGAACTCTTCAAAGGATCTTCTCAAGACGATGTTAAGTCTTCAGATGAGTTAAGCTCATATATCAATTATTTAGTAAATTGAATGAATAAAATAGCCAAGAGAGGTGAATTGACAAATAAAAAATTTGGTGGAAGCTTAAAGTAAAAATGAATATGTATGACACTAGAAACGAATATGTTGCAATCTAAGTTATATTATTGATTTGAAATTAATATTAATGACATAGAGAATGCTAAATGTGTATGAATGTCAACTTGAAACATCGAATTATGAATTTTTTTATAATTAACAAAATTAGTCCATAATTTTTGCATAAACAAAGTCCAAATCAAGTCATACAAACATACAATGGCTCTTAGAGTTCTAAACATACATCTTTTCAATCTTTGCTACATTTAATCATCACATTCTTTAAAAAAAACTATATATAGGATCAATGTAAAGCATGGACAACATGATTTAATGACAACGAATAATATTGCAATTTTTAAGACCAAAAACAATAATTCATGCATATTAGGCCAAAAAAATGGAAATAATGAAATAACAATTCTCCCTAACTAACTGTTATAACTCTATAAAAAGGATAATATTTATGCTCCTTTAGGTGAATATTATTTTGAAATTAATTACTTTCCATGTGCATATTTATTATTTTTACGCATCAAGCATACATTTTAATTTTAGATGCATTTTTCTTTGTTTTGTTGGAGAGTGTTGCTGTGGTATGCTTTGCTGATATAAGTGATGGATGGAGACCAAGCAAGGGATTCTCGTAGGCATTCAGAGAAGGACAAGTTTCCGCAGGCATTTGGAATGACAAGATGCTGCTGGAAATCAAAGAAAGAGAACTTGCCAAGGAAAAGAGAAGCAAACTATCACCAGAGTATAAACACGATCCAGCCTCATAGTTGATCTATCAACCCTAAGAGTTTAAAATAAGGAACGATGGACAAAAATAGAGATAAGGAACCTTTTTAAATTTGGAATCCTTATCTTTCCCAAACATAAAGGCGGAGGGTCAACTATAAGAAGGCCTAGGGTGTTTTCATAAACCTAACAAGCCGCTCGTAAGGGTTCTTCTTATGCTTCTCTATTTGATAGTTGCTCAAAGAATTTGGAGACTTTCATCATCGTCTTCTTAGTTTCTTCTCTTTCCTTCATATTTTTAATATTTTGGAGGAAGTTTGGAAATGATTTATACCCGCCCTGAACTGATATAAATTGGCTACTGTTTTGGGGATTTATATTTTTATGAACGATTGAATTTATCTATTGATTGTTATCTATTTTGAATGTTTATTCATCAATTGCTATTGTTGAACATGGTCGGATTATTTAGACACAAATACTTAGTTATATATATTTACTTGAGATTTGAAATCAAATTGATAAATACTGTTGTCATTCACGATAGTGAGAAAGTCTAACCTATCTTAGACTTGACAAGGTTTTATGCGACTAAAGGGAGTTCAAGCAGAGGAGCCAATATTTCCAAAGTTAACGCATGCATGTATTGCCAAGGGCAATAACTGTCGTTAGACTTTTACTATGCATAGCTAGGAGGCATAAAATATAACTTTGTCAAAAATTTAAGGTGGCATAATTTCCCATGGAAATTCAATCAACGACAACAAATAATCTCAGATCCCTACCATTCATCTTATTTGTGGTTTATTAATTTTAGTTTACTTGCTGTGATAATTAAATTGATTAAAGGAAGAGAAGGACCTTCAGATGTAGTTTCGTTTTGGTAGTTCAAAGGAATTGAATAGAACTTAAAGAATGTAGGTCATTCAAATGAAAAAGATTCCTGAAGAAAGAGAAGTAATTGTAGCTCAATTTTAAGGGGGGATTCACCACTCGATTTTGAGGGACGTTTTAACAAACATGATCAATGAGTCAATTAAAATTGGTGCTAATATTAAAGATCGAATATTGATGGGAAAAAAATAGTTAAGAAAATATTATCTCTGATTTAATCTAAAAGACTGATTAATATAAATAATAAAAAGTTTAAATTTATCTAAATCACTTGATAAATTAAATAAGTGATACATATGATATTAAATTATTAAAAAAAAGTTAACTAGATCGAGCAAGTTCAAACGATATCTGAACTATTCCCATTTTTTAAAAATTTCAATGTTTGAAAATTTTTCTCTAACTTCGAGTTTGTTCAATTTTAGTCCACAGTACACAACAATTTATTTTTACGAATTGTTTCGAGAACAATAGATTGTTCATACGTCTAATTTACTCGTGCTTTCAACCCTCAATCTAGGGCGTGACAATACAAATTACAATTTTTCGTAAATATTAAATATATATTTATTACTTATTATATCAAAAAACAGTTATAAATCTAACACAATGGAGTACAATCATTAAGTACCCTTGAATTATATTGTAACTATGGTTCACTTGTAATTCCTTTCTATAGTTATAGCTTTTATAATCAACATCAAAGAGAACTAAGCATGTGATATTTAAAAAAATCTACAAGTGAATAATATACAAGGAATTGGTAATTTTTCAATATAAATTTGTCTAATTATTTTATTTGCCGTTCTTTAAAATTGGTCTATCTAAACATTTTCGATATGCTATACAGAGAAATCAGGCTCATTTGGTTTAAATAACTTGGGCATCTTTTCAGCAGAAGGATCAATAAAAGTAACTTTAGACCCTTTTTTAGTAATTTTACCAAACTTTGATGCCAAAACGGTTGCTCCAAGTTGCGAATTATCGTGTGAATTATCCATAGACGACGTTGATGTGCCTTCAGCCCTATCAATACCTTGATGATCAAGTAACTCTTCTTCTTCTGCATCTCCAATGTTGTCATAGTAACCATCTCCATCTGTCCTATAATGGAAACCGTTCTCCCTTGCCATCAACTCTTTTGTCATTTTTCTCTTCTTGAACCTTCTCCAAGCAGCTTCTACGAACGTCGCTCCCCACATCCGCCATTGATGAGAATAATATCTGAAAGCATGTTGGAGCTTCTTGCTCTGTAGTCGCTTGAATTGATGCGCGAAGAATTGGAGGTCGTCTGCTTGGAGCGCAAAGGCTTCGACCTCGGATACGGCTCTCACCGTTCGAGTTGAGAGGGGGAGGTTGAGGGTGGAATTGGGCATTAAAGCCCATGTTAGAAGCTCTTCGCCGCAGAAATCGCCTGGTCGAAGAGTGATGGAGTTGAAGAAACCGGTTCTTCCTCCGCCAGTGGTTGAGCTCTCGAGTTGGCCTCGAATGATGAAGAGCATCTCGTTGGCTGGCTCACCTTCTCGGACGATGTAATTGCCTTTGGTACTCAATGATGAGACTAGACGCTCGCACATCGCGTCGAGAAGTTGGTCATCCATTTGTGAGAAGAAAGGAACCTAGACGATGTAATTAGGAGAGTTTAGTTGTTGTAGAACAAACACAAGTAAATTCCATAGCAAGAAAACAACCAAGCAAGAAGCGTGGGGAACAAGGTAACGTACACGGCGAACAAGGGACAGACACAAATGGCGTTGAATTTCGCGGCGGAGATCCAAAGGCAGTGACTTCAATATAAACTCTTCATCAACTCCTCTTGTGGTCAGCCATTTGTATTGGACAAATCGTTGAACACGTTGCTGCAAAGCTTCAGGTAACTGGCGGTGCCTCATCCACTCCTCTGTATCCCTTCTTTTAAGCCTCCACTCCTCGATTCTTACTGTCATTGATTGCAACGAAGTCTTCAAAACAACAAATCGGGACGTTATTACGGATTTTGCAAGATAAGATGAATATTAGGTTATACATTCCAAATTTGGGCAATTGCTTGATTTTTGTGGTGGTTCTAAAAAATATCCAATGTCGTAAGATTTCAATATTTTTGAGGAATTTCAATTATATCTTTCAAGTTATATTATAGTTCATCGAAGATGTAGGAGTGAGCATATCTAAATTATGATTGTTTGTCAGTTTGTAAGATTTTGGATAAGTCTCATTGGTCAGATTAAAATCTCATGTTAGTTTGGGTGTGTGTCGGGTTATTTTTAAGTATTTTGTCTTTTTTGTATTGTTGAAAATTTAAGTCGTCTTTCGTTACAGGATTTTAAAAACAGACTTGCATGCAATGGTTTTCTTACTAAAAACTTGGGATATGTTTCAATGATAAGATCTGAGGTTATAGCGTATTTACTCAAGAAAATCTTTAAAGATTTTGATTTATGTTTGGACTTCGTATGGATTCTTTAGGGAATTATTATATATCCAATGAATGTGGATTTTATTAAAAAAATAATAATTTATTTGCCGAGTAAAACAAAAAAAAAGTTCTAAATACCTGCATGTTGCCAATCAATAGTGCAAAGAGAACCAACCCAAATAAGCATATGGAAATGGCAAAAATATTCTCCCATATATATATGCTTGTTTCCAAATTCTGCCCATATGAACTGCAAATTAAGAGTTAGCAATGAAAAAAAAAATTATATTAGCTGGTCTGAGATCCTTGTCAAAGGGCTTAGTTTGAAGTGGGACTTAAATCGCGGTTATGGTTGTGTGTTTGGTTGAGATATGTTTATTATGGTTTTAGACACAGTAGGTGCTATTGCGGTGATTATGGATATCGCGGTCATGCCATAACAATAACATACACAACTACCGTTATAAAGTGGGTGCTATTGCGATTGTAGACTGCTATTGAAATCCTTACATGTGAAAATAGTAATTTAGATTAGAAAAATGGACCAGACTAGAGATGATACCTTAAATTTCTTAGACCCCACCAAAAACAATACAAATACTTGACGACAAAGTTCTGTGAGGCAACATCATTAGTGAAAGCAGCTGCAAACATTCCGAATTTGAAATCAACTTCTTCGTTGGACGCATCACAGTTCGTCAGCACGTTGGTCACATTCGCCCAATATTGCCTCTCTGGTTTTGTCAAGCTATTACAATCTAGGAAACTTGGGACGCAAGAAACAGTTCTTGAGAGGTTCTCTCTAACGCATTCGTGATTCCAACACGAAAACTGCCTCGCTATCGAGCACATGTACCATATCGCTCCCAATACCTACATCCGAGAGGCTGACCGGAATTAAAAAGAAAGAAAAGTCAAAATTACAACGGGTGGCGGGTCGGGTATCTTACGTGGCTGGCAAGGAGATAGAGAAGGAGATTGTATGTAGCACCAACCCAAGCAGTTTTGGCAAGAATCCCATTGGTTTTGATGATCTTGTTGTTAAGAGGAAAAATAATAAACAGCCTTGGAACATATTGAAGGAGAACCATAAGAGCAATGGTGCTGTCTGCATGATCTGTTCTCAAGTTTCTTGTGGTAGGAATCAACACCCATATCACAAACTGCACGTCCAAATGTCACAAAAACTAAGAAAAACAACCAAATGGTATGAGAACCTAATAATGTTTTAAATACTAAACAAAAACCTGAGGTAGTGGTAAGGCAGCAGCAAGATCAATGACAAAATCCTTCTTCAAGTAGCGCAGGGCAATCTCCCTCGGATCCATAACAAGTTCACCCTTTCCGAAAATCCTAGAATTTGGGGCGATGAAACCGGTCCTAAACTTCATAAGCATGTTTATAAGGTACAAAAGGTCCGCCATGGACCTTAAAACAGTAATGAAAACTCCCATGCTGGCATCGGAGGACAGGCATGCCGGGCCTCCGACGTAAGGGAGGAAGAAGTAAAGAGGGTCTATGAACATTGCCATAATGCAAATGATCAAGAACACATGGTTCCAAGAAGAAACAATGTCACTAGTGGGATCGAATATGAAGGGTGAGTCACCAGGAGCATTGGCTTTGGATGAAGGTGACCATGTTGCGACTGCGGTGGAGTCAGGGGTGGAGGGTATGTAGCCGAACGAAGGGATTATGCTATTCATCTTCCATGTAGTATTCCGATGCTACACCAATTCGGCGGCAAAAGAGGAAGGATAGAAAAGAATTATCAAATAAAAAGATAGACAATGTGACTTAAAGTTATATGAAATAAGTTGACGAGAGGAAAGTTTTGAAACAAAATAAAAGAATACGAAAAAAAATGGTATGACGGCGTTATAAGGGAAAGAGATGGTGGGCGGTGGAAGAGAAACCGGTAAATGGAAGACAAGAGAGTTTTGCGGCAAACCATTTAAACGTGCATGGTTCAGGATAATGCTCTTTTTCAAAATTTATTATTTTATGTTCTATCTTTGTATTTAAATTTTGTTATGGTAATATTTAAATATCAACGCAAAATATTTTTAAACAATAATTTGAGCTCTAAGAATTCTCCATCATATCAAGTTTTGGGAAATCATTTCCCATGGCATATTTGCATCGCTAAACATAGATCTCAATGTGTATCGACAAAGATGAATTATGTGGGTGGTCGAATTTTCAACACATAGCAATTTAGTATTAAATTACGGTTGTACAGTAATTTAACGATCGTATCGTAATATTTTTTAAGGTCAACTTAAAAAAATAAATCACATTCTCAACATAAAAACATAATTATTTTTTAAGGTCAAGTTTAATGATTGTATCGTAATATTTTATAGGGGAGTCATTTCACACCTATTATTTTTGAGAAAAGTGTTAAATTTAGTTTAATTCGTTAATGAAAATAAAATATAAGGAAAATTAAATATTCAAAAGAGTATTAAAATTTTAGACCTCTATTTTTTAATTTTTATATCCACCATTATTAACATTGACAACAACAACTGCAACGATGACCGCAAACTAGAATCAACATAACCAACAAATTAATTAGATTAATACAAGTACGATGACGAACTTCCAATTTCAAGTTTTACTAATGAAAATTCCATGAATTTTTTTTCCAATTATACAGATTTTATAGTCAAATCTACGAGACATTATTGGAAAGTCTCTTCCTGCACATGCAAGTCGCCATTCCTGGATTTTTGCTTCCTCAACGTCAGTAATGTGATAGGAGCTTCAATTCTAACAATCATGAAAGTAAAGTAAGAGGACCACCAATTTTAGCAAGTTCTCCAAGCAAACTAGGCTGATGTGACAAATTGAGAGAATATTTTCAATTATGTTATTCGCTCAACCAAGAGTTTATTAATACATATATGCACAACTAAAACTAATTAATCTAACAAATTAAAAGAACGTAACTAACTAACTAACTATAATTACATATAGTTATCTCCAACACTCTCTCTCAAGTTGGCAAAAAAGGACATCTTTGACCCCCAACTTGAACAAGAAGTATCCATGTTTTTATACGCCCAGAGCCTTTGTCATAATATCAGCTTGTTGCTCTCTGCTTGTCATGTACTTAGTCCGAACTATTCCCTCTTGTATTTTCTCTGAACGAAATGACCATCTATCTCGATGTACTTTGTGCGTTCATGAAAGACAGGATTCACAACAATCTGTAAAGAAAAACTACTATCACTAATCAACTGTGTTGGTAATTGACACTCAATACCAAGTTCCACGAGCAGCCTGCGCGCCTAACCATACCAGCCCAGCAGTCGTGGCAGCCGTGCTCATATATTCTGCCTCAGCAAAAGACCGTGCAATGGTAGTTAGTTTTTTTGGATTTTCATGAGATTAAAGAGTCCCCCAATTTAATACAAAACTCGGTGATGAACTTCCTGGTCATGGAACATGTCGCCCAATCAGCTTCACAAAATCCAACAAGCTCACTTTACTCGCAGCCTTCAAAAAAATACCTTGACTATGACTACCTTTAATATACCGAACCACTTGAAGAGCAGCATTGAGATGAGACTGTTATCGCTGATGCATAATGATGTGATCCCAATCAGCCCTAACTTTCTTCTTGATCTGATTAAATCATTGAAGTTTACCAAGGTTGATTCAAAGGGAGTTCTACCTTACTTCATCCTATACCTTCTCATTTATGCACTATATTTTTTCATATGTTTGTATTTACCTCTTAGGATATCATAATGATGTGATCCCAATCACCCTAACTTTCTTCTTGATCTGATTAAATCATTGAATTTACCAAGGTTGATTCAAAGGGAGTTCTACCTTACTTCATCCTATACCTTCTCATTTATGCACTATATTTTTTCATATGTTTGTATTTACCTCTTAGGATATGCTTGTCATATGATATCATTCATTGCATGAATTTGCATGAGTTTTATTAGTTGCATGACATTCATTGCATTTAATAAGTGTGTTGTTCATTAAGCATGCATTGCATTCAAAGCATCTAGTTCATTTAGGGAAGTAGTTCATTTATGCATATTTAGATAATTTTGTAAGCTACTTCATTCATACCTCTAGTTCATTGAATAAAGTTGGTTCATTAATTAAAGTTTTCATTCATCAAACTAGTTCATTTAATAACTAACTCTTAATTGTTTCATGCATTTTTCAATTAAAGATTGAATAAAGTTCACCTTTGTGTCTAGGTGCATGAGAAAGTTGAACGGTTTCAACAGATGCAAGAATATCAGTCAGAATGTCTTCTAATTATGGATGTGATACAGAAGATTTTGGGCTCAGAAATCAATTGGACATTATTCATCTACCTCTTAGCTTTCCAACACCTCTTTAATCACCTCAATCCGATATCGAGAGCTTGAGATATGATCGATTTACTGAAGACAGTGCAGGCTGGAATTTTCATTACGGGAATTTTATACAAGGATGATTTGGATGATATTGAGCTAAGGAAGAGTCCTTTCATCTTCTACAAAGAGAGAAGCAATTGAAGGCTATCTTAAGGCTTCTATTAAAAGCAATTCAAGGATTAATTCTTTTCATCTTTTCAAGGTTGTTCATATTCTTGGAGAGACAATGCATTCAATCCTTCATAATTCACCTATTCAAGTCTTACTTATCATCTTTTGAAGCTATGCACATGCTACCAACGAACAAACAATGAAGGCTGATTTTATTTCATTTAATCATCAAATTAAGTGATAAAATCAGCAAGGAATTTGAAGAGACAAGCTGATTTGGACATGTAGGATGTCCACAGTCATCCTATGACTTCATTTAACCTCTTTTCTTCCATTTGCAAGCAAAACAAGGTAGCCCAAGAGTCATCCTTCCTTCTTGTACGAAATTAAGGTCATTTCAGCTTCAAATTATCTAGATTCATCAAAAAATGATCTAGAATATTCATCCAACTTTGAACATAAGAAGACAAAGCATTCAAGTGCATTTTATTGCTAAATTGATGAGAATGTTATCATCTTTTGAGTCTTTTCATATTCTTCTTAGAAATACTATAAATAGGCACCTTTGGGATCATTTGTAGACACACAATTTGATTTATGAAAATAATTTGAAAGATTGCTTTCATTTTAGTTCTTGGATTAGAACTCTATCGGTTTCTTGTCGGTCTTGAAGCCTTCATCCATTTCATCTTGTTATAGCGTTGGTTCCTAGCTCTACTATAGTTAGAGGGTCACGTTCCACCCTCTATCTCTTCGATTCCATCTTTATTATATTGTTGATTCCTAACTCATATATAGTTAGAGGGTCACAATCCATCCTTTGAATTACTTTCATTCTGCACGCCAACCACAAACATCCTTCACCATTTTCGTCACATCCATTCAACCACTATCACCACCACACTTCTTTCATTTACAATACACTTCAACTTCATTCTATCATTCTCTTTTTTGTACACATATTTATATATACATATTTCCCTTCTTATAACATTGTTTGTACAGTTTCAGTCTTCAATCAAAGCACTACGAAGTTCTTACTAGAATCACGATCGGGCAATAATACATATGACTCGAATCTCATAATAATATCATATCGTTTATATAACATTTGGCATCAGAGCTAGCCGATTCAGTAAGATTATAGTTTTCTCTCTCCCGGGTTAGTAAAAAAAGAAAAAAAGAAAAATTTAAAGAGGGGACCAATTCTTTTCATCTTTGAAAAAAAAATAATTAAGAAAGTTTCATATTCGTTTCATTGTTTCTTTTATTATCTTTGTGATTTCATTGCCTATTCTCATCTTCGTTTTTTCTTGTAGCCATTTATTTTCTTACATCATTTTTTCAACCAAGCCCCAATTGTTTCAGCCAAAGTCTACGAGACGCCTTGTAAACCTCGAGGGAGTTCCACAAGAACTTTAAAGGAAAGCAAGAGCAGTAAAAGGCAAGAGTGTACATTAAGGGTAAAAGCCATCCCGAGTGAAACACGAGTGGGAGTATTTTTCTTTGGAGCTGTAGACACCCATTTTCTTAAAAGATAGAACTAGCAATAGTTCATCTCCTAAGAGGACTCTTCCACCACCATATATTTTAAAGCAACAACCACACCAACAAAGGTGAAACAACCGAGCAAGGAGTCTAGTTGCATTAGGATTCTATTGTTAGTTAGTTTTTTTTCACTATAAATACATGTAATCCTTCCCATTTGGAAGACATGATTATCATACGGGATTACGCACACAAAAAAAAATACCCAAAGTAAATACGCAAGAAGCCCTAAAGATTCGCTTGTAATTTTCAACAGAGAAATAAAAGAGGTATTTTTACCTATATTGTTTCGATTCTCGCTTGCATGTGGCTTGTTTCACTTCTTCTTTTCCGTTTTTACTTTAAAAAGGCCGATGAACACAAGGGAACCGAGATCTTTTCTCTTAGATCTACGCTTCCCCGAGGCTTATTTTGAAAAACCGGTTTGATTTTCAGTTAAAAGAGGGGAAGAGCTTTTTAAAAATCTATATTAGTCCCTTTATGTATTATATGGATATTTTATTCATTTATTTTTATTACATGTTATTATTATTATACGTATATATATATATATTAAATTATTTTCATTTTTTTACTATATTTATAATTATATATATATATATATATATATATGTTTCTTTAATATTTTGCTTATAAGTCTATTTTACTATATA